GTTAAAGCTGTGGTGTTATTTGATTAGCAGACAGAAGCAGGTATTTATTGGCTGCTGTCTCTTTAAGACCAAGCGCACGGACCTAATACTGACACACATCCGGTTTCTTTCGCAGCTGTTTATGTTCATTTAAGACATAACCGGCTGTGTTTACTACAGTACTCGCCAAAACGGGTATTTTAACATAACTTTGTGTTTATGTGAAAGAGGAATCAATTCGCTGTTCATGCGGTGTCTCTCTCTCTCTGCGTGTGCGCGCTTCGGGTGTTTGCGGCAGCGGCTGAGCGCATAGAAAACAGCGCGTGAGTTAAAATTGCTTGAATGTGTAAATTGGCAAGACAAAACATGTGCAAATGATAAACTTTCACTCTATGATGGTTAAACTTAAGTTAATCCGCGAATCACATCCGTGCCGAACTGTGGGGCCTGGTCCGTACGGATCACGGATCATCTACGATCCGTTGCACCCCTACTGATAAGCAACAAGTACTTGTATTCTAGATCTCCATAAGAGGTGATTGCATAATAAAATTGTTTAGGCAAAAAAATGTTCTCCTGTATGTATGAATGCGAGTAATCCATGTAAATATTAAAGGGGTCATATGATGCGATTTCAATTTTTCCTTTCTCTTTGGAGTGTTACAAGCTCTTGGTGCATAAAGAAGATCTGTAAAGTTGCAGACACTAAAGTCTCAAATCCAAAGAGATATTCTAGCACACCTCGCTTTTCAGAACAATGAGCTTTGTAAAAATTGACGCGTTTCAGAAAGGCGGGGCATAGAAGATAGAGTATGTGGAAAATAATGTTTTTTTTTTGTTGTTTTTTTTACCTTAAACCGCATAAACACATTTCATTACACCAAATACACAAAATAATGTTCTTTTTAGCAACATCATATGACCCCTTTAATAAATTAGACCCAGTGTTTGGCAAGGATTAATTGGCGTAGTTTTGCCTCTTTGACACAGATGAGGGCTGCTTGGTTGTTTCGTATTAAATTATGGAAATAGTATTTTCTAAAGGTGGAATAGTACAGGAAAAACACAGATTGCATATAATTTTTTTATTTAACTGTAATCTGCATGTACCTTGTCTTTCAGTTGAAAAATGGTGTGAAAAGAAAAGCAGACACTACTACCCCTTCTGCCTCTTCCATCTCCAGCTATGAGTCGTCCTCTTGTGTAACAGAACCAAAAGTCCTTAAGTTATTCTCCAGGCGAGGCAGCGGCCGACCCATCAAACCTCCCTGTAAAGACCTTCCTGAATCACCACCACAGCATCAGGTGGGCAGAAGGAACAAACTCTCAGAGAGACTCAAATACTGCAATGCCATCCTGAAAGAGATGTTTGCCAAAAAGCATTCTGCTTACGCCTGGCCCTTTTATAAGCCTGTGGATGCAAAGGGACTGGGCCTTCTTGATTATCATGAAATCATTCACCAACCTATGGATATGAGTACCATCAAAGTGAGTACCATGGTTGTGTTAATATTACTGGATAAACATTGCTCACTGTTATTGTTTGATATGTAATGGGCATATTTTTTTCTAACAGAAAAAGATGGAAGCTCGTGAGTACACAGATGCATTGCAGTTTGCTGCAGATATGCGGCTCATGTTCTCAAACTGCTACAAATACAATCCACCCGGTCATGAGGTAGTGACCATGGCAAGGAAACTTCAGGTGTGTTTTTATGTGGTTTGATCATCTTTTAAAATCCATTGTTTGTCTTATTTTTCTTTTTCTTTTTTTTAAATAAATACAATACTCGCATATTGCTCTCAGAAAATTCAGTCTTTCCTGACAGGGTTAAAGGGGACATAACACACACACAGTTTTGCCAATCTCGTGTTAATCTTGAGTACCTATATAGTAGTATTGCATCCTTCATACCGCCGAAGAGTCTTTAGTTTTATCAGATTTATAAAAGAAAGATTCAGCTTTACGATTGTCTCCGAAAACAGCCGAGCTCCTGGAGGTGTGCCGTGGGCGGAGCTAAAGATTGACAACAAAACACAGAAATTTGATGCAGTTTTACTCGCCGCCTGCAGTTTCGACTCATGACTGGGATATTTTATCGCTGGGACAGCTCCATTTTTCTGTATCAAACAATCTGCAAATCCAGTGTCGAACTGGGCCTTGTTTATAAAATGTTTGTTTCCGAAATGACGGGAACAAACAAACACACATGCAAAACTCTGTTGCTGTCCCGGAAAAAAAAAAAACTGCATCCACTGTTCCCTTAACGCTGGGTTCTTTGGGAAGCTAAAAAAGGTTATCTTTCCCTCACATCCAAAAAACACACTTCTTTGGAGACATTCTTCTGGAGCAAGTCCTGTGCAGCTCTGCCGACGACTTCTGTAACCCGAATGAAGCACGTTGATGGGTGCGCTCTTGCACTCGCTGTAGTCGATGTGTGCGCTCTCTTCTGGGAGAAGTGCCCATACAAGGAATTCCACCCTTCATGACGTCATGAAGGGTCATGCTCTCAAAAAAACTTTCCAAAACTAGTTTGAACCCGCAAGGACTGTTTTTGGTACAGACGTCATACGTCCAAATAATTTTTTGAAACTTTGGCCATGTTTAGCATGAGAATCCAACTCTTTAACAGCGTAAATAACTCCATGTTAATGTTTTTTATTTTATTTTTTTCACCCAGGATGTTTTTGAGTTTCGGTTCTCCAAGATTCCTGACGAGCCGAGGAATTCAGCCCCAGCCTCTAGTCAGAACAGAGTAAGGAAGGAGAGAGCACAAAGTCCGTCCAGCTCTGAGAGCAGTGACAGTGAATCATCGTCTCCATCAGAAAACTCCTCCGACACAGAAGAGGATGAAGAGGAGAGAACACAAAGGCTCGCCAGCCTGGAGGAACAGGTAAGACTTGCATATAGACGTTTGAGTCCCTTCACGGATACACACATCCTCTGTTCCAACACCGTCACAACACCATAGTCACACCCAATGTGGTCACACTGGCTCCTTCAGCAAATTCTATGGCATTATTGCATGTAATCTTTGTAGCGAAAATAATTCCAGTATGTTCTTTGCCAAGAAGCGAGAGAGGTCTCATTTATTAATATAATTAGGAGGACATTTAAGTCTGCACAATTGCAAATTTATTTTTGCTTGTGTATGTTGTGGTTTAAGCTTAAAGGGGACATGACACACATTTTTGCCAATCTCACGTTAATCTTGAGTATTACATAGTAGTATAGTAGTATTGCATCCTTCATATCTCCGAAGAGTCTTTAGTTTTTTCAGATTTATAAAAGAAATATACAGCTTTACGATTCTCTCCGAAAACAGCCGAGCTCCTGAAGGTGTGCTGTGGGCGGAGCTAAAGATTGACAACAAAACACAGAAATTAGATGCAGTTTTACTCACCGCCTTCGATTTCAGCTCATAACCACAATATTTTATTGCTGGGACTGCTTTATCTTTCAGTATCAAACAATCTCCAAATCCAGCGAACTGGGCCTTGTTTATAAAACATTTGTCACCGAAATGACAGGAACAAACAAACACACGTGCCAGAAAAACAAACTGCATCCACTGTTCCCTTAACGCTGGGTTCTTTGGGAAGCTGAAAAAGGTCATCTTTCCCTCACATCCAAAAACACACTTCTTTGGAGACATTCTTCTGTAACAAGTCCTGTGCAGCGCTGCCGACGACTTCTGTAACCCAAATGAAGCACGTTGATGGGTGCGCTCTTGCTCTCGCTGTGGTCGATGTGTGCTCGCTCTTCCGGGAGAAGTGCCCATACAAGGAATTCTGCTCTTCGTGACGTCATGAAGGGCCATGCTCGAACAAAAGGTTTCTAAACTTTAGGAGTGTATTTGGCACAGAAATACCCCGTCATACGTCCAAATAGTTTTTTTAAAACTTTGGCCATGTTTAGCATGAGAATCCAACTCTTTAACAGTGTAAATAACTCTGAATGCATGGAATAGCATTAGGCCCCCCCTTTAATAGGTGTTGTGCTTAAGCGTAATATGGTTTGACATTAACATGTTGCCAATGAGTGCATTCAAAATCAGCCTGCTGTGAGGGTTTGGATGCTGCCCATTTGTACAGTAGGCAGTGAAAATAACTTGCTAAGTTTTGAACTATAGATGGACAGTATTCATATATGTACTCTTATATAATGTCATTTCTGTCTTTACTCGCCAGCTGAAAGCAGTACGAGAGCAGCTCCAGTTACTGACCCAAACACCTCTCCTGAAACCAAAGAAAAGGGAAAAGTCCAAGAAGAAAAGGAAGAAAGAGAGAGAGTCCAGTAAACGAAAAGGTGAAGAAATGAAGAAACCGGCAAAAATACAGAAGAGGTCCAACAGCAAGTCGTCAGGGTAAGAAAATGTGTGGAGCGTGTGGGCCCTCATCATCCCCATTTCTACCCTAAGAATAATGTATAGATCTTTATGCGAAGACAAATTCTCAAAGAAATTAAAATTTACATTGACTTTGTTCTCAGGTGGAAGGAGAGCAGAGCATATGACTCTGAGGAAAAGATGAATGCTTTACCCATGTCTTATGAGGAGAAACGGCAGCTGAGTCTAGACATTAACAAGCTTCCTGGAGACAAGCTTGGCAAAGTAGTGAATATCATCAAGGCCAGAGAACCCTTGCTCAGGGACACAGACCCTGAGGAGATCGAGATCGACTTTGAGACTCTCAAACCTTCAACCCTTCGAGCTCTTGAGTGCTATGTTGTCGCTTGCCTCCAAAAGAAACTGAAAGAAACTGACAGTGAGTACTGTTCTGTCAATATTAACAGCTTTTTTATGCTGGGACACATTATATATGAAATATGTAAATAAAATTATGTGAGAAGTAGTACTAAAAGCCTTTCACACTGGGTCTAATACAACTAAATGGCATGCAAACCAAAAGTATTTGCATGTTTTTGACACTGCAACTACATATGCCAAATCAGGCGACACTTTTCATCATTATCTGAAAAAAATGTAATGCCCACAGATTATAGCAGTACAGTGTTTTCGCTTCAGTATGAAGGCGTTCATAAATAAAAAGAACATTATTTGGTGTAATGAAATGTTTATGCGGTTTAAGGCTAAAAAAAAACACATTAGTTTCCACATACTGTAAATTATTGTTTCTCCTCTATGCCTCGCCTTTCTGAAACGCATCAGCACATCTGAATATTTGGGTTGAACTGTTCTGGAACAGTGTTGTAAATACAACTTAACCACTGATTTCTAGTTGTGTCCTCTTTTGGAAGGCCAAACAAAGTAGTTTCGCTTTCACAACGAAACACACAGCGTCTTCACAACATGGCGGTGGCAGCAATAATAAAGTTACACCGCCTTTCTTTGCATGAACATTTGGGCGGCATTATGCAAATCTTCCCACACAGTGACGTAGACATGTGGGGGCGTGTTTGAACGAGGCGTTTTAGGAGGGCGTGGACCAGTCTTAAAGGGTTAGTTCACCCAAAAATGAAAATCAGCTTGTGTTTTACTCACCCTCGAAGCATCCTAGGTGTATATGACTTTCTTCTTTCAGACAAATCCAGTCGAAGTTATATTAAAATTTGTCCTGGCTATTCCAAGCTCTATCATTGCAGTCAGCGGGTGTTGCAGTTGAACAGTCCACAAGTCGTCAAATAAAGCGCGCGCATTCATAATAAAACGTGCTTCTCACGGCTCCGGGGGGTGAATAAAAAGGCCTTCTATAGTGAATCCATGCGTTTTTGTGAGAAAAATATCCATATTTCAAACGTAATAAACACTTTTATATCACTTCCGCCAACTGTCATACGCGGAAGCTGTGCCGGAGGATGACGTAGTACGTCGGCGTTGCAAGATTAGTGACGAATGCGGAGAGACAACAAAACAAAACGCTGGTCACGAATTAGAGGTACAAACCGAAGATTTGCAAAGAAAAATGTCGGAGGATTTCGATATAAGCCAAGAGGAGGTTTTCCTTTGCTAAAGTAAGGAAACTTTGCTTCCTTTGCTCCTGTAAACAAACTCGCGAGACTAGCATATCGAGCTTTATTTGACGACTTGTGGACTGTTCAACTGCAACACCCGCTGACTGCAATGATCGAGCTTGGAATAGCAAGGACAATTTTTAATATAACTCCGACTGGATTCGTCTGAAAGAAGAAAGTCATATACACCTAGAATGCTTCGAGGGTGAGTAAAACACAGGCTAATTTTCATTTTTGGGTGAACTAACCCTTTAACTTTTATAAAGAGTATCTCTTTGGGTTTGAGACTTTAGTCTTTGCAACTTTAGGGATCTTATCTATTCACGAACCGCTTGTAACACTCCAAAGAGAAAGGAAAACTTGAAATTGCATCATATGACCCCTTTAATGAAGCTTAGGTGCCATAAATGCATTTACACCACAAAATTTCAAATGCATAAATAATTTTATAAGATTAATGTTTTAAATATTTTTGAACGTACAAGTTAAAAATGTTGGGAAAAATGCAATACTTTTAAATATGAAACCAAACCACCAGTAGATGAAGGTAAACGAGAGAGTCATTAGTCATGCATTCAAATGGCTGATTCATTCAAAAACTAGGCACGTGACTACTATCTTTATGAATGGATTACTGAATCATTGACTCACTCGATTCGTTCAAAAACGTGGATTCATTCAGTATCGAGTCTCGAAACAACGCTGTGTTGCTCGGATACTCAAAACTGTTCTGTTGTGGCTTTGATTGAAACTTCGTCAGCGAACTTGAGCAAAAACAGTCAATATTGTATTACAAATTGCGAACTTTGTGTCGGTTTAACTCACAATGAAGAACTTCCATGCCGACGACATGTTTACATGCGGATGTGTGCCGTCAAAACGGACCGGCTGTGAGATGAGGGGTGTTCGATTTGAAGCAGAAATGCGCAGACCGATCAGACATCAAAGTACCGCGAGAGCTACAGAGAGCAGATGGCTCCACATGCGTTCAAATTGCTCTCGCGGTACTTTGATGTCATATAGCGATCGGTCTTGCGCATTGCTGCTTCAAGTCGAACCGAGAAAGGGACTTTGTTCGAACACACTCCTGTCTATGAGCTTGCAATTCCTCTCTCTCTCTCTCCGCCCAGACCACCCCCCTTTTGTTTTTTTCTAAACAAAATAGATGCATACTCTACAACTCTCACAAAACAAAGTGTGTAAAAGGAGACATTTTTATCTAATATTTATGGGTGATCTTTTTACATTATTAGAAAAGAAGCTCCAGAAGAAGTCTAAAATCAAGGAAATGGACAAAGAGCTACAACACACGAATGGAGAATCAAACGATAAAAAGGCCAAAAGTAAGTATATGCATTTATTTGTTCATTCCTTTTTATGTAATCATATAAATGCAGTATAAACCTGTATGTTTCCCCTTCTGTGTGCAGTTGAAGCTTTAGGGGAGTTTAAAGATGCGAGCCATCCATCTCGTTTGAGTGACAGCAGCAGCAGCTCGTCCAGCTCTGACAACAGTAGTAGTGACTCTAGCTCCTCTGATAGCTGTGACTCTGATTCAGGTTAGCGGCTTCACACCTACCCACCAACCCTTTTATTCACTCACTGTCTCTCAGGCCAGTCTGTTCCCCCTGCTATCTATCTGGCCACTGATGCAGAAAACAAACCAAAAATTGTAAAGCTTACTCGGACACGTCCCCAGCATTATAAACTTTCACTTATTTCACCTTAACATCGACTGGACAACAAATACTTGAAACGTTACACAGTTCAACTTATTATTTTATTATTATTTTTTTCAATTAAAAAAAAAATGGTGTATGTTCATTGTTTTGTGTTCAGGCCAGTCTGTTCCCCCTGCTATCTATCTGGCCACTCAGACAGAAAACAAACCAAAAATTGTAAAGCTTACTCGGACACGTCCCCAGCATTATAAACTTTCACTTATTTCACCTTAACATCGACTGGACAACAAATACTTGAAACGTTACACAGTTCAACTTATTATTATTATTTATTTTTTTTTCAATTAAAAAAAAAATGGTGTATGTTCATTTTTTTGTGTTCACTACACTTGTCCTTTGTCACTTTTGTAATATAAAGAAAATTGTGCACTTTTGGCTCCAAATTAGTAAAAGAATAAGTCATCTCTCTTTCTCTCTCACACTCTTTCTGTAGTTTTTGTTGGATGCTATTGTTTATTTGTTTTCCAATGTTTGCCATTTTGTTCTTGTTTTATCACAATCACTTTTTTATGTTGTTGCTGTAGTTTAAGACAAGTTTAAGACCAGCTGGCTCTTGGTGTGGGGTTTTCCTTGTTTCATACACCCTCAGCACTTTCAAGTTAAAAATAGTGGTAAGGGCTCCGAAGAAATGCCGGTTTCCAATATGGACCTTCACCAAACATAACTGAGAGCAGTTATATGTGTCATATGCTATTGTCCCTGTTAAGAGTTACAGCTGGTCTGTTTTAAACTGCTGCTTTGAATCATTACTATGTGGTTCCCCTGTTGCATTACCTTATAATACTTGTGTGAGTTCATGCAGAGATGTATATGTAATCATAATCTAGAATAGATTGTAAAAACATACATCGATATATTGTATGTGAGGGTACTTGGATTGTAAACTATAGTTGGAACATGGAAGGTAGGACCAAAACAAGCTCAGTGTTTCCCTTGCCATTATATTAGGGGGGCGGCCCGCCCCCCCCGCCCCCCTTGAAGGTCAAGTTAATTTTATTTAATTATATTTTCTCTATAGCGCCAGATCACAACCGAAGTCATTTAAAGTTACCTTTCCGATAGAAC